GTAGTAGTAGTAGTAGTAGTAGTAGTAATAGTAATAGTAGTAGTCGTAGTAGTAGTCGTCAACCCTCCAGACTCTCTCGGTTGTCCTCGCTCTTCGTTTCTTGTTCTCATCGACGGCCTCCTCTTGCTTGGGATTATGCGGGGGCTTCGAGCTGTTCAGGGCCAGCGTGGGAAGATATTCAATATGAACTGGGCTGGCGTGAAATGTACGGTCTCTTATGGATCTTCCTGTTTGGGCTGCCTTGAAGGCATTGGGGCCCGCTTGGGCCCCTCTTGGGCTCTCCTTCGAAGTTGTTGGGCCGTCTCGAGCCTTGGCGCTATGTGAAGCTCTCCCGAAGCCGTCCGAAGGAGACGAGCGTGAGATGTACTGAATATGGAGAAACCTGAATGGCTTTTGCGTTTGTGACTCTCTGGGGTCATCCGGGAGGGTCTTTGAGAGTTCCACTGGGGCATCTTGTGGCCCCTGGGGGCCGCCTTGAAACATCTTGGAGCGTCTTGGACCACTAAGGGACCATCTTGGCGGCCAGCGGGCGTCCTCCTGAACTAGCTCGGAACCCTCTTCCGGCCGAAAGAATTACCCAAAGACCACAAAGCGGATCCCGGAACCAAGGGGGGGCAAATTAGGTTGCGACGGGGGGAGTTTGGGAAAAGTGGGCCACCCCAGGTCCCCTCCCCCATGGGCGGTCCCGTCGTTTTCTTCCGTCGTCCGACGTCCGTCGTCCGTCCGCCCGCCATGTTTTTTCTCTATGATAGCTCTGCCGCGGGCATCTTCTCTCGTTTGCTCTGAGTAGAAAGTGCCTGGGATGCAGCGGCCAGCGCTGTACATGAGCTGCTACCTTGGGCTGCAGCTCGCTGGATACTGCTGCGTGAAAGGCGCTGCTACCCTGGGCTGCAGCGCCATGCAATTAAATTCTCCAGCATTACTTATCCCACGCGGCACTTGAACGAGAGATGAACATGCTTGGTTCGCGCATGAATGTCTTTCCTGACCCCTGAATGGAAACACATCTAATCCAAACCCCAAATTCCCGGATTCCTGGGGGCCTTCGGAGACTCCGCGAAACCGTTAAGAAGCCGGGATGCGCGGTACCAGCCAGATGTCAGGGGATGTGTAGGACCCCCGAGTAGGAGTTCTATATAGATGAAAAAATCTTGGAATTCCCTGTCTCTTTTTTCTCCCCAATTCTCGATCTTTGAAGGTTGGGAACGGGAAAACGTGAGAAGGCGAAACACATTGGAAAAAACACTGGGAACCAACGATTTTACCCTCTTTGGGCTCTCTCGGGACGGCTCTCGCAGCTCTCTTGGGCTGTTCTTGGAGCCTCATCGGGGTCCCTTTGGGGTCTCTCAAGATTCGGGGGTGTGTTGGGGCCTCTGGGGGGTCCTGGAGGCCTCTCGGAGGTCTCTGGAAGCCTCATGCTCCCGCTCTTGGGCCTATCTTGGGCCTGTTGTGGGGTGGTCTGGGGCTGTGCTGGGCGCCTCTTCGGCAGTCTTGGAGCCTTCTTGGCCCGTCTTGGGGCCGTCCTGAGGGTCTCTTGGGTGGTCTTGGGGCGGTCTTGGGAGGCTCTTCGGCGCTCTTGGACCGTTGGAAGCTAGAAAACGCGAGAAGCCAAAAACATGTGAACAAAGCCACTGAAATCTACGACTTTGGCCTCTTCGGGCCGTCCTGTGACACCTATCAGACCTCTCTTGGGGGTCTCTTGGAGGCCACCTGGGAGCCTCGAGAGCCGTCGGAAGGCTGACTTGGGCTGCTTGGGAGCGTCTTGGGCCATCGTGTCGCATTCTGGGGGCTCCTGGGAGCCGTCTTGGGCCCTCCTGGAGCGCTGTGGAGGCTCCCGGGAAAGGCTGGGGGAGCGGTGCTGGGAGCGTCCCCGAGATATGGCGGGGAGGTGTGGGACCCGGGGCCGGGGGGAGGGGCGGTATTTTTCCCACATATATATATATATATATATATATATATATATTTTATATATATATATATATATGTACATGTATATATAATTACATACATACATATACACACACACATATATATATATATATATATATATATATAGGTATGTGTGTATATACAATCTGTATGTGTGTATATATATATATATACTAGTGTGGACCCGTGGATTACCTCCACGAAGTTGGGCGGATCGAAGCATGGTGGCGCGCGCTGGGTCGTGCGACGCTGCCAGCTACTGCCGTAGACCCCTTGAAGCTTGTCCTAATGCTGTTCCCCCACCGAAGGCGCCCAATGCATCGAAACGGGGGCCGAAGTGTGTTCGAGCTTCGCAAGAGGCAGGCATTCAGGAGTCCAGGCCTGAGCAACGTTGGAAGATTCGCGCCGGGATCGCGGCGGACGCGGGAGCGGGTTCGGGCAAACGCGGCGCCGTCTCGGGCCGCGTCGGAGGCGTCGGAACGGCGTCGCGGCAAAATAGGGAGCGCAGCGGGGCAGCCCCAGGACCACCGGAGCGTCAAAACATGTTTTTTGTTGCGCCTGCGAGGGCCACCCCCCCTCTGTTGGAAGCAATTTTAAAGCTTTTTGGGAGCCGTTTGGGAGCTCTATGGGGGCTGTTTCGGGCTCCTCGGGGGCTTCTCGGAGCCCTCTTGGGCCGGCAGGGCGCCTCGCGGGCCGTCTTGCGGCCGTCTTGGGCGCCTATCGAGCCGTCTTGGGGCCATCGTGGGCTGTCCTGAGCCCCTCTGTCTTGGGCCTGGCCGTCTTGGGCGATCTTGGAGGCCTCTGGGGCCGTTTTGGACGCTTCGAAGACCAATAAGCCGAATCTGCTGAAAATGTAAATTTTCCGAAGGGACTGTGACGACTTTAGCCTGATGGAACCCTTTCGGGAGACCCCCTGGACCGGCCTGGAACCGTCCGGGGGCGTCTTTGAGGCTCATGGGGCCGTCTGGAGAGCATCTTGGGCCGCCTGAGGTCGTCTCGGGGCCTCCATAGGCCGTCTCGGGGCTGTCCTGGGCCCCTCTTGAGCCTCTCGTGGGGTCCTCTTGGGTCGTCTTGGGCGCCTCTTGGGCCGTCCTGGGGGCCGTTCTGGACGCTTCGAAGACCAATAAGCCTTTAAGCCGAATCTGCTGAAAATGTCAATTTTCCGAAGGGGCTGTGACGACTTTAGCTTGATGGAACCCTTTCGGGGGACCCTCTGGACCCGCCTGGAGCCGTCCGGGGTCGCCTTTGGGGCTCATGGGGCCGTCTGGGGAACATCTTGGACCGCCTGAAAGTTGTCTTGGGTCGTCTCGGGGCCTCCATGGGCCGTCTCGGGGCTCTTCTGGGGAGCTCTGGTGCCGTTTCGGGCCCTTCCAGGGGCCCTCTGGAGCTGTTTCGGGGTTCTCTGAGGGCTGCGGGGACTGGGGGCCCACGCAAACCCGCAAGGCATCTCTCGGATTTATTTGAATGGATATATATATATATATATATATATATATATATATATATGGTACCCCACCGCAGGGGTCTACCATTGTTTGCCTCTTCTTATGGAGCTCTTTCGGCCTTCAAACGCTTCGAAAAGGAACCGCTCTCATTCCGACTCCATTTCGCTTCTCCGTTATCCCTCTCTCTCTGTCTCGTCTCTCTCTCTCTCTCTCTTCCTCCTCCTCCGCCTCCTCCATTGTTTGCCTCTTCTTATGGAGCTCTTTCGGCCTTCAAACGCTTCGAAAAGGAACCGCTCTCATTCCGACTCCATTTCGCTTCTCCGTTATCCCTCTCTCTCTGTCTCGTCTCTCTCTCTCTCTCTCTTCCTCCTCCTCCGCCTCCTCCGCCTCCCCTCCTCCTCCTCCTCCTCCTCCTCCTCCTCCTCCTCCTCCTCCTCCTCCTCCCCCTCCTCCTCCTCCTCCTCCTCCTCCTCCTCCTCCTCCTCCTCCTCCTCCTCCCAATGAGAATTCCCTTGTGGGCCAGAATCTAGCAAAGCATTGCCAGGCGTTCAAAACACGGCTCCCGCCTGAGAGGTCCCCAAAAACACAGCCAAAAGGAAACTCCCGCCTGAGAGGTCCAAAACACACACACACACACACACACACACACACACACACACACACACACACACACACACACACACACACACACACACACACGCCACACACGCAACACACGCCACACACACACACACACACACACACACACACACACACACACACACACACACACACACACACACACACACACACACACACACACTCAAAACGAGGCTCCCGCCTGAGGTCCCCAAAAAACCAGAAGAAATCCAAGAGCCACCCCTCTCATCCTTGTAACTGTCCCAAAAACAATACAAACAAAACGCAAAGTTGAACCCCTCCTCCCCTCCGAGGGGGGCAGGTAGGAAGAGGAGGAATCGGGGGGAGGAGTTCTCCTCTGAAACGTTTTATTTTGCTTTGGGCAATTACAAGGATGAGAGGGGTGGCTCTTGGACTTCTGTTTTTTTCTTACCTTTCAGGCGGGGGCCTACTTCTCAGGCGGGAGCTTCCCTTTGGATGTGTTTTTGGGGATCTATCTGGCGGGGGCCTCGTTTCCAGTGCGTTTCGGAGAACCTCTGCGAGGCATCCTCCTCATCACCTTTCTATCTTCATCCTCCAGCGATTGGGGCGGGGAGCGCTCATATGTTATTCGTATTCCTCTTCCTCCGCCTCTCCTTCCCATTCCTCCACGTGCTCTTCGTTCTCCACGTTGTGCAGTGGGTTCCACAGTTGGCCTCAAACAGTTTGCCCTGGCCTGCCGTCTTCTCGCAGCGCTTCTTCTGGCCATGAGCAAGGGAGGCGAGGAGGAGCGAGGAAGAGGAGGAGGAGGAGGAAGAACGGCACGTGATGGAGGAATCCATTTTTTGATGCCCTCGAGGGCGCCACAGTTATAAACGAGACTTCGCAAACGAACGGGGCCCGTTCCTAGGTGATCCCGCTTATCCTGCGTATTCCTCTTTCACCCCCCTCCTCCGTACCTGTTTCGGCTCAAATTTTAAGTGGCTCCTCAAAGTTCAACTGGTTCCGCGACCCGTGCTTCGCGCCGCCATGGGGAACCCCAAAAGAGAGACCCCGGCTTATGAGAAGAAACAGCTCATCAACAAGGTGTGCAGGGCCGCGAAGAGAGAGCAGGACTTGAGCAGCAGTGGCCAAACTGCTGAAGGAAGCGCGCGCAGCAGCTAGCAGGTCCCTTGAGAGCGCGCTGGACGCGCGTTGTTCCCGCCGTTTGAGCCACCACTACAGGGAGAAGTACGCCGCGAACCACAAGGCCGCCACGGCAGAGGCGGTTGCTTACCGCCTCGACGAGTAACTCAAGGAGAAAACGGCCGCTCTCAAGAACGCGAGGGCGGAACTGCGCGAGACGCGGGACCCCTTGGAGAAGGCGGAGCAGGAGCTGCAGAAGGCCAAAAAAAATACCGAGAAAACTGAAAAGAAGACCGAGGAGGCTGAGGAGGCGCTCGAGAAGGCCACCGCTCCCTGGGAGTGCCGGTGGCGGACCCTCCAGGTGCGCATGAAGCGCCGCTTGCCCCCTTGGGCGGCCAAGAAAGTGAGGCTCTGGGCGCAGCGCGGCCCGCAGCGCGGCCCGCCCCGCGGCCACGCGAACGACTGGGGCTGACGCGCGCCGCGCGCAGCCTTGCCGAACAGCTCCACTCTGGCCATTGGAGCCACGGCAAAATACAGCGAGCGAAAGCGGAAGAACGAGGGGGATAGAGCAGGGCAGGCGCAGCGGGACAGAGCGCCAAACGACGGAGGAGGAGCCGCAGCAAAACACAGCGAGCGAGAGCGAGAGAACGATGGGGGAGAGAGGAGGGCAGACGCAGCGGGACAGTGCGCCAAACGACGGAGGAGAACACGAAACAACTGCGCTGCCGATGTCCCTCTCGACATCCTCGTTCTCGTAGCTGTTTGGGCTCAGCCGATGTTTGGGCTCATCTTGAAAGCCGGAGGCCCAGGGGGTACCCCGAGACAACCGGTATTAATCATATTTGTGGGAACAATGCAACGTTCTCATCTTCTGCGGTTTGCTCGAGTTGTGGCTCAAGGGACGAGCCGCCCTGGCGCCGCCTGGCTCGCTGCGCCCCCGCGCGCGCCCGCCCCCCCCCCCCCCTGCGGCGCCGCGCGTCGCCGCGACGATCGCGGCAGCAACGGTCGCGAAGAACCTCGCCACGCACAGGCGGACTTTTCCCATCCTCTCAGAGGACGAGACGGGCACCGCAAACCGCCCGTTTACACCTGTTGACGCCGAGGCGGGCGGTCCAATGGAGGAGGTCGTGCACTTCGTTGACATCGCGTCCGATCACCGCCAAAACATCGACAGAGACGCGATCTTGGAGCACTTCCGTCGCAAGACGTTCAAGGACCTGCCCTTGCCTTTCTGCCTGAAGGAGGAGCCCCCCGAGCGATTGCACCATGCAGCTGTTCGTGGCGCCGACGGACAACGGCGGGAAGTATATCATCAAGCACTACGTCGTGAAGAACAAGATCAACATTCACAGCCCCCCGAGCATGCGCGCTGGTCAGGCGCGTGAGATCGCGCGGGGCATCCATGAGAAATCAGGGACGAAGGCGCTGCAGCACCTGCCCATGCACTTCCCTGGCTTGAAGATCAGGCGTGTCACGTTCGATCAACGCGACCTCAACAAGCAAAAAGAACTCATAGATGAATCGAAATTCGACCAGGGGTTCGGTAGCAGCGAGGGTCATGCCCGTCTCATCCAGAACAAGGGCCCCCCTTCGGTGCACCAAGGAGCTGAACAACGAGTACAACATCATTTTCGGATGGGAGGAGTCGCTTGGGAAAGAGATCGTGATGGGGCATCGCATGCGCGGCGGTGATACGCCAAGAGCATACTGTCTGCCCCGTCACACTGCGCAACATCGAGCACTCCATCCTGGTCGGCGTCCTACAACCCATGGTCAAGACGATGGAAATGCATGCTCTCATGATGATTGGCAACCCTGGGATCGGCAAGACTTTCGTGGGTCGCGCAGTCGCCCGGGCCCTCGCCAGGCGGTGGGCGCGCAGGGTCGGCGGCGAGCGCGTGGCCATGCAGAGAAGCGCGACGAAGTTCGACTTCTTGCGCGGCCAGCCAGGGAAGAAGAGCTGCGCCAGGGTGTGCGACGACGGGGCGCTGAACGAGCAGCGCGCTCGGGCGGTCAAGTCCTTCGCGGACGTCGGGGATGACGAGTCGATGATTTGGGCCCGCTGGGGGGCCACAGAATGCGCGCAGGGGCAGCCCCGCTTGATCGTGGACAACGCGTTCAACCCAGCCGCGCTCCGCCCGACCAGCGGCGGCTTCCCGACGATCTCTCGCAAAGACTTCCCGGGCGCCGTGTCGACGACCTTCCCCCCAGGGGCGACTCTAGCCGACCTCTTGGCGTGTCTGCAGCGCTCGCGCGTGGCCCTCAACTTCGCGCGCGCCAACGGCAATGTCTACGTCCTCAACCGCCTCGCCTCCGAGGGCACCGAGCCCGTTCGGTGCTTTGTCTTGGGCGAGTCGAACTTCATCAACATGCGCGGCAGGCGCCGCACTGACTTGTGGAATGAGGGCCGCCGCCAGTTCGGGACCGATTGCGACCAGGGCGTGCTGCGGGGGCAGAACTGGCTGGCACAGCTCATGGATGACGGCGAAATCCCGCGAGGGCACGACGCTGACTCGGGCGCGGAGGACGTCTCCGCGGCCGCCGAGCCCCAGCCGTTCGGCAAGCTGTGCGCGGGGAACATCTGGGGCAGCGCAGCAGCCGCGCCAGGGGGCGGAATGCCCGCGGCCCCGATGCCAGCCCCAGCCGCGCCAGGGGGTGGCTTGCCCGCGGCTCCGATGCCGGCCCCAGCCGCAGAGCGGCACGCCCGCGGCCCCGAGGTCAGTCCCAGCCGCGCCAGAGAAAGGCCCCCCAGCCAAGCGGGCGAAGCCTGGCACCCGCGGGCCCCGCGCGGCGCCCCCGACCCTTTCGCGGACGGCTTTCTGCGTTGCCGCCCGGGGAGCGACCGCGAGGACTACGAGGGCGAGGAACAGCCGCCGCGCGGGGCCCCTGCGCGGGAGATCGAGCGGCCCTAGCGGCCACGCCAGGCAGGCGCCATCTCGCTCACGGAACTCAGCTGTCTGAAGAAGGGCGCGGTCAATGATGGGTTCGACGCTTTGAGGAGGCTTGCGCCTGCCAAGAAGGAGGGGCGCAGCGTCGAGCAGTTGCGGGCGCTTCGCGCGCCGATCAAGCGAGGCCCCGAGGGCCCCCGCAGGGCGGCGGGCTCGACCGAGAAGGCTGCCGAGCAGAAGGTGTTCTCGGCGACGCCCGTGGGCAAGGCGACGACGCGGGAGCTACCCCCGGGCTCGGGGGGCGCAGGAGTCGGGCGGCGATCGCGAGGCGAGGCGTCAGAGGGATCGCGAGTCTGTCGACCAGCGGGCGCGCGCGCTGCGCCCCGTGGGGTCGCGAGCGCGGCTGCCCCTTCTGGCGACCTGTGACGGGCGATTCTTGTGCCCGCCTCCATTCGGCCGCCTTGGGCCATCAGCGGCCGTCGCGGCGATCGACTCGGACGCGGGCTGAGTGAGGTCGCTGCCGCGGGGAGGCCAGGCGTGGCAGATGAGTCCAGCTGCGCTCGGTTGCTGCATTCGCTCGGGAGAGCATGCCCCCGTTTTTTTCGGGGGGTATCCAGACCGTTGGCGGAGACGCATGCGTGCGCCGGAAACTGTTATGCATGCCGCGCGCGGTGCAAAAATAAGCACCGCGCGCGCGGGCGCCCGTGCCCCGTTGCCTCTGCGGCCCACCGCTAGCCAACCATCGCCCAGAGAGCTCCGATGCGGGGTCCCACGGGGAGTGCATGATTGCGGCGATATCGACGCCATCGCAGCGTATTATTTTTCTTCTTGTCGTTTAGATTCGATGGTCAAGGTCGTTGCGCGCATTTTCGCCGTCGCCGCAGCCGATTCTTAGCCGAGCCGGCAGCGAGAGCCGCAAGTGCCCGCACCTCTCGCGCACTGCCTCGCCCGTGCTATCGCGCCACGGGCCAGGAGTGGCCGTCCACCGTCGCCCCGCCGCTGCTGTCGGAGGACGTTCGGGCGTCGCCCCCAAAAAAGGGCAAGCTTCGGATGGTGCCCGGGCGCCCATCTGCCGCCAAGACCAAGGACTGGAAGAACGCGCCGTGCGCCAGGGAGAAGAGCGCGACGCCTGGCAGGGGCTTGCGCCGCGAGCAAGCAAAGTGTAAGCGCGCAGTCCCAAAGCTCTCGGCGGCGTCTGACGTGGAGATCGCGCACGCCTTGCTGGGGGACAAGCTGCTCGTCGATTGGGCTGGGGCGGCTTGTCCTTTCAGCGGGCGCGGCGAGCTCGTTGAGTTAGCAGCTCGCCCGCGCGAGGGCGATCGCTTCTTGCGCCGCAGCAACGCAAAGGGCTGCCAGAAGCACGCGCCCCCTGCCCGCCATAACCCAATCTTCAGCCAGCACTCGGCGTCCGAGAGCTCGCAGAAGCAGGCCGTGGCCCCACTGGCGAAGCTCGCGGGGGTTTCCACGCGAACACCCCACGTCCTCTTCGACGTAAACCACAAAGCGGTGGAGCAGACTTGGAGCAACGTTGGGCAGGTCCGGAGGATGCGCGTGGAGGGCGTGGAGCCGACCATTGAATACAATGGGCCGAAGGTATGGGCCGACGTGGAAGCCGACGAGGCGACGTTCGACAAGTTGGACTTGGCTGATGGCCCCGAGCCTTTGGAAGACCCGTCGCACCTCGTCATGCGGGATCAGTGGCTGGGCAATGTGCAGCGCGGTAGGCAGCGCGCGCTCACCCTTACGAGGTTGGGCCCAGAGATGGCGGAGAAGCGTTCCCCTGGCCCTGGGGCCGTGCGCAAAGTGAAATGGAACCCCCGTGCGGAGCGCTGGCTGCAGGACCGCGATGGCATCTTTCACACTGACTCGGCGCGTTCTTACAAATTAAGTGTGCCTGGGGTCATTCACGACTTCGTTGTTCACAAGAAAAAATACAAGATCGTCGGCGGCAAGAGGGTGCTCATTCCTCCCGGCTACGTCGAGCTGAAGACGCCCGCACTCCCGTCGGGCAAGCACTTCAAGGTCAAGAGCGGCGTGACGTTTCAGCAAAGACCGCATGCACAGGAGCGCCAACGCCAAGGCAGGAACCAAACTGCTTGCCACCAAAGTCCGCTCGGCCCGATACGAATACTGGCACAAGACGACTTGTGGGTCAAGACGAGGGAGATGGTGATGGTGCAGCACATCATGCGCGACCTGCTGACTGCGTGATCGGCCGCGGCAGAATTTGGGCGTAGACTTGGGTACTACGTCTGCACAACGTCGGGGGTCTGCAATGGGGACTCTCCGCCGCGTGCACTGCGCATGGAGGTTTGCAGTTCAAAGGAAATGCTCGCATTGCATATTTTATTACACAACCAGCACATTGATAAGAACACAAAATCACATCATCGCTTCGCTTGGGCACCGACATATAGAACGATAGACCCCTGCGGGGGGGCACATATATATATATACACACACATACATATGTGTGTGCTTATCTACAAGAGCCACGCGCGCTTCGCGCGCGTTTAGGTTCTAGCGTGTCACAGACACAGGAATCGCTGTGCGAAAAAATGGTTGGATATTGTCTCAGCCAAGTGAGGACTTCAGTGACAACACCTGCTTGAGGCACCGCCTGGGGCGGACCCTGTGTAGAGTGTGGAAAGTCGGACCAGCTCTCTGTTCGACCCTCTTGGGCGCACCCTGGGGCTCTCTTGGGCCGTTTTGGGGGGCCCATTGGGGGGCTGTTTCGGGGCCTCTTTTGGTGCTTTTGCGGGTCTCTTGGGGGCCTCTTGGGGCTTGGGCGCGTCTTGGAGCCTCTTGGGGTCTCTGGGGGCCTCTTGGGCCAAATGGCTCGCATTTTCGGTTCCTCGTCCCCGTTTTGGGCGCCGACTTGGGGCGTTGTTGGGCGGTTTAAGCGTCTCGTGGCCCGTCTTGGCCTCCTCGTGGGCAGTCTTGGAGCCCTCTTGGGAGTTTCCTCGACCGTGTTAGGTGCCTCTTGGGCCGTCTTGGACGCAGTGGAAGCCCAAAAGGCGAACACGCCAAACATATCAGTTCCCCAATCGGAAAAGTTTTGCTCATTTGGGGCTTCATTGGGGTGCCTCTTCGGGCGTCATCGGGGCCTCTTTTGGTTTTTTTTCGGGTCTCATGGGGGCTTCTCGGGGCTTCTGGGCCCCTTCTTGGAGCCTCTTGGGGTCTCCTGGGGGTCTCTTGGGCCAAAAGGAGCGAATTTCCGGTTCCTCGTCCCCGTCTTGGGCGCCGCCTTGGGGCGTTCTTGGGCGGCTTGGGCCCACGAGGACCGTCTTGGGGCCCTCTTGGGGGCATCCTCGACCGGCTTGGGTGTCTCTTGGGCCGTCTTGGACGCAGTGGACGACCAAAAGGCAAACGCGCCAAACATATCAGTTGCCCCATAGGAAATCGACGAGTTTTGCTGATTGGGCCTCTTTCGGGGTGCCTCTTGGGGCGTCATCGGGGCCTCTTTTGGTGTCTTTTCGGGTCTCATGGGGGCCTCTCGGGGCTTCTTGGCGTCATGGGAGTCGTCTTGAAAGGCGTCTGGAGCCATCGCTGCAGCCTCCTGGGGCCTCCCTGCAGCCTCTTGGGGCCCTGTTGGCCCCGGGTCGCCGAAACCCAATAAAAACACAGGGAAAATGACGCCCGAGCCCCACATTTGTGGTCGGGGCGCCTGCCCCTGGCCCCCGGACCCGGTCCCCCGTTATATGTATATACGCGTACATGCATACATGCGTGCATGCATACATGCACATGCACAAGCACACACATGTCTGTCTGACTGACTGTCTGTCTGAGTGTTCATATGTCTGTCTGCATGCATGCATGCATGTCTGTCTGTCTGTCCGTCTGTCCGTCCGTCTGTCTGTATGCCTGTCTGTCTGTCTGTCTGCCTGTCTTTCTGCCTGTCAGCATGTCTGTGTGAACGTATGTCTTTACCCCAGATTTCGTAATAAAAGGGAGGGGGTCTGGACCCTCCAAGACAAGCCATTTCAGACCTCCCCCGTGGGAGAGCCCTCCAAAACATCGTCCCCAGACCCCCCCAGGCCCTCCAAGATAGCCTGGGAGAGACCCCCCCCCGAAATGAGACCCCCCTCCCTTTATTACGAAATCTGCATGTATGTATGTATGTATGTATGAGCTTATGTATCTGTGCACGCATGGCTGCAAGCGGGCCCCCACGCCGCGGCTGAGGACCCCTTGCACCAAAACCGCGCAAACCAACATGGCTGCCGACAAACGGCTCCCCCCAATCCTCGCCCTCTTCGCCCCCCCCCTTCCACCTCCTCCCTCCTCCCCCCTCTTCCCCTTCTCCTCCTCCCCCTGCTCCCCTCCCTTCTCCCCCTCCTCCCCCTCCCCAACCTCCTTCCCCTCCTCGTCCTCCTCCCCCTCCTCCTCTTTCTCCTCCTCTTTCTCCTCCTCTTTCTCCTCCTCTTTCTCCTCCTCTTTCTCTTCCTCCTCCTCCTCCTCCTCCTTTTCCTCCTCCTCCTCTCCTGTTCCTCCTTCTTCCTCTGTCTTCCTCCTGCTGCTGCTGCAACCGATGAAAGGGAGGTTCCGAATCGGCCACCACGTGAAGTAGGAGGAAGCCTCACCTCGCTGCCCCGTCGATCGCACAGTCGTGTTACTGCACGGGTTCGAAGAAATTGTCTAAGGCGACGGAAAAATTAAGTGCTTCCTCCGGACTGTCATCGACTGGCAGCCCGTCTGGCAGCCTGGATCCTACCGTGTCTAGGATGAGCAAGGCGGAAAAACTCGACAGCTCTGACGGGTATTCCTTGAAAACAACTCGATGCTGCAAGAGGCTCCCAACATGGGGCCGCATGGCGATCCATAATCGTGCTTGGATGAGTCGCCACCGCCATCGAGAAAAGCCGCATTGTGGTGCAAATTCGTAGTACTCTGCCCTTCTCCACCTGCTTCTGCTCCTTCGAAGTGAGGCCACAGATACAGTGGAGGCCATTCTACAGGAAACCTTTCACCAGAAACCCAACCCTGAGACCCCAGGACGTTCATTGATCTCTGGCGTGGGAACGTCGCGCTCCCCGTCGCAAAACCATCGAAGCCCAAGAAGCCCAGGGCACCCTGGAGGCAAGCAGGGTGTTTCTTGGCATGGGCCTCCGCTGTACTCCGCCTTCCCCCACCTGCTTCTGGCGGGCCCCAGCCGCCCTTTGCCTTCCTCCACTGTACTTCGCCTTCCTCCTTCGAAGTGAGGCCCCAAACGCCCCCAGGACTGAAGGGTTCCTGGGACACACAAATAAATACACACAAATAAAAGGATCCCCCATATTTTTCCATATTTTCTGGGGTTCTGTCTCCCCCCCCCCCCACTTCCCATACTTTCCTACATTTTCCTGGGCATCGACGATTCATTGTGTCTGTGTGTTTTTTCCCCTCCTGAAGGCCGTTCCCTGTTCCCGGCGGGCCCCGGCCCGCTGCTGCCCTCGATCTCCCGGAGCATGGCCGCCGACTGGGCCTCGCTCACGGCGCTCCTGCGAGGACCGCCGCCACCGCACCCGAGGCCATCAGAGGCCCCTCCAGCACTGGCTGGCTGCTTCCCTGGAGAGGCCCCAGCTGGCCCTATCATTGGCCACATCCAGAGATGACCCATCAACACCCGTGATCCCTCCTCCTCCTCCTCCTCCCCCCCCTCCTCCTCCTCCTCCTCCTCCCTCCTCCTCCTCCTCCTCCTCCTCCTCCCTCCTCCCTCGTCCTCCCTCGTCCTCCTCCTCCCTCCTCTCCTCCTCCTCCTCCTCCCTCCTCCTCCCCTCCTCCTCCTCCCTCCCTCCCCTCCCTCCCTCCCTCCCTCCCTCCCTCCCTCCCTCCCTCCTCCTCCTCCTCCTCCTCGACCAGACAAAAACTTCTGCGCGCCCCGAGCCGCGCGGCCTCCGGGGGCCGCCCGCCGAGGGGAAGCGGCCCGCACCGCGGCTCCCGCGGAGGGCGCCGGCCGAGGCCTCCGCGCCGAGCCGCTGGAGGAGGAGGAGGAGGAGTTGGAGGAGGGAGGGAGGAGGAGGAGGAGGAGGAGGAGGAGGAGGAGGAGGAGGAGAGGAGGTGGGAAGGCGCAGATGGGGTAGGAGGATCGCTCCGCATCGCCGACGCGTCGGCGATGCGTCGCCCCCTCGCACCGGCGGTGCATCGGCGATGCCTCGTCGCCGGCGTCATCATCGGCGACGCTGGCGCGAAGAGAGTGGGGCTTCACATCGAGCCGCATCGGCGATGCGGCGCGGTCCCCCGACCCCATCTACTCCGGCCCCATCTCCTCCTCCTCATCATCCTCCACCACCTCCTCCTCTTCCTCCTCCTCCTATCCTCCTTCTTCTTCTCCTCCTCCTCCTCCTTCTCCCTCCTCCAACTCCTCCTCCGCCTCCTCCTCCAACGGCTCAGGATGAAAAGCTGGCCCTGGGGAGGGGCCAGACCCCGCGTTCTGTGGCAACTCATGGGAGCCTCCCACACCATCTCGTGAGATCTTCTGAATCGACGCTAATCGACGTTAAATCGACGCCAGATCGACGCTGACCGACGCTAAATCGACGTTCATCGATGCTAATCGACGCTACATCGACGCTACATCGACACACATCGACGCTAAATCGACGCTACTCGACGTTGAGTCGGCGCTTCCTTCTCGACGACCAGACGCCAAGAGGACGCCCGTGCACTCTGGAGGCGGGGCCACGAGGACGCACGGGGCTCCCAGGACTTGCTGCCGAACCCGCACAGCTGTCAACAAACTGCTCAGAGCAAAACCCTCGTCACGGGCGCAGGGTCGATCGGGGATGGGCAGACCCCCCTTTATGGGACGCACATGGACATACTAATACTATATGTCCTCCTTGGAGGCGCGCATCCGACCCGAACATATAGTATACCCATCTTGTAGTATATCGTTTCCCGAGCGGTGTGGCCAGAAAGCGCCCGCAACGACGCATATACTATAAGATTTCTCGGTGCGCGCGTCGCCCCTGGGGGGGCGACGCACATATAGTATAAGTATGTTGGGGTGTTGCCGACTTTAGTAGAACGTGGTTTAGTGAAAACGACCTGAGGCCCAAACCCGGCGGGCGCAGGCCTGGAAAACAGCGGCCACGGCGCCCTCTCGAGAAGCGAAAACGGGCAATTCACTAATCGACGTGTCACTGTTGGGGGTTCTGTCCACCCCCGAGTCGAGAGGTCTGGGGCCCCGAGTCTCGGAAATGTCGCACCGTCCGAGGCCTGGCGCG